ACGCACACCCACCCACACCCACCCACACCCACCCACACCCACACACCCACACACACACACACACACACACACACACACAAACCCACACACACACACACGCGCAACTTTCTCCCAACTTTCTCCCTCCTTGCCAAAGACCTTAAACCAATCTAATACCTCTTTAGAGCGCTCATACCACTCATACAGACCCTTGTAGAATCCTCAGAGAACCCTTGTTGCACCATCAAACCCTCACAGAACCCCTGTAGTGCCCTTGTAGTACCTTCACAGTACTTCACAGTACCCTCATAGAACCCTTATTATCGCACTCATCAAAACCCTCACAGTACCCTTGTAACAACACCCTCACAGAACTTTCGGGATAGCCTCAAGGAACCCTTGAAGGACCCCTTCCTTGGCGGCTCAGCGCGAGACTTGGACTCTCCGAGGCCCGAGGAGCTCAAGGCCTTCGAAGCGAAGTCCAAGTAAATCTACAAGGATACCACAAGGTCCTATAAGGTCCTATAAGGGCACTAGAAGGGCACTATAAGGGTACTATAAGGGTACTATAAGGGTTAAGGGTTCTATGAAGGGTTCTATATAGAAGGGTGCTTTGAGGGTTCCATGAAGGGTGGTAGTAAGGGCTATTTATGTATGACGGGGTACAGGGTTCTAGAACGGCACTACAAGTATGAGGGTTGTGCCCACCCTGAACCCTGAATCTCTTTCCCCCAAATCTCCAAACTGTAACTCCCTACATCCCAAGGACCCTTAAAGTACCCTTACAGCCTGATACAACTTGTAGTACCACCCTTAACAAAACCCTAGACCCCAAACCGCAAGTTCGAGAAACAGGGCAAAGAGAAGCAAAGGATGCAGAATAGAAAATGGAGCCTGCTCGGCTTTCTTGATGCTGTGCGACAGGTCTTCCAACTCCTCACGATGCACGAGCGAAACACGGAGATGGGCAACAAATCAATAATGACCGGCCAGCGCACCTTCAACAAGCCGCATTTATACGGTCCAGACAATCCGGGTTGCTAGAAGTCATTCTGCTTTTGGCCCGAGTCGTAATGGTTGTTTTATTTGACATGGCATGAAAGCCAAGGAGTTGGGGCTCACAAACTTGCAATCTGCCCTTTCGTCCTGTCTTAGGCGCTTGTTCTCATCTTCCAGCCACCTCCAGAGCCGCAACGTAAAGGCAAATTGCGCGACGGTCCAATTAATTTTGGTTGGACGGGTTCAGCAAAGACCAGAGACTATCTGATTTACCAAGCTGCAAAACTGGCACTGTACCTGCTGCCTCACAGCCCAAAGGCTGTCCTCTGAGGGGCACACGCATTGCGATCAGCCAGGGTCATGAGAGAACTGCCAAGACGCGACCACAGCCAGCACCTGATTGCCACAATAAGTTCGCGCTTTCCTTTTATTCAAGCCTGCATCCATACATGCAGGCCGACCAGCTAACGTGTACGACTTCTCTCTGCAGACCCCTGCAACAACTGCAAAAGAACTGGGAAACCCACGCATGCTCACGCATGTGGCCAGCCTTGCCGGCACTGCAATTTGACTGCAATGCTCTCTGCCGACACGGCTGGGTCCGCGGTACAGGCGGACTGGTGTGAAGCGTTACAGATTTTACAGTATCATGCTTTGACGACAGCAGCAGCACATGCAGTTGTAGGGATTGCAAACCCCAGGCAGTGGCGATCGAAACGAAACTAGTCTTGAGCTTGGTTTGGAGAACCCTTCGACCTTGCGCAGCGGCATCATCTCGGCTTTCACTTTGCTAGCTGCTGCGCCGGTTTGTTGTCAACATTCTCGGGGAGCTCTCGGTCATTCACTCAGGATGCGTGCGGCTGCGCAGCAGGATTCTGGCCACAGACGGCTGTCGACTGCATTGCATCATTCCTGGGGTGCCGGTCCTCTGTAAGATCGCCCTGCGCCGTTGCAGCCGGCGCCTGAGCCACAAGCCGAGAGGGACATGAAGTCGCCCCTTCTGTCTGTCTGTTCCATAACGTAAAGGAGGAGCAACTACATCCTGAAATGCTTATGTGTATCTCAGCACAGCATCAATTCGATTGGCCTCTGGAGCTGGTGTACGGCTGGAGCATGCACTGTTGGCACCTCAGCTTGGGCTGTCTGAGTTTGCCAACAGAAGTGCAGAGAATCCCGAGGAACAGCAGCTGGTCGGCACGGCGCTGCCTGCAGCCGCCTGCGGTTGTACGAGAAGGGAGGCGAGCTACTGCTAGCAGATCTTTGCAAAGCAGCCGACCTGCTGCGGTCCGCCTGGCATCAACGAGCCGCAGACTTTGTCCCGCATGTCGTCCCACCTCGGCGACCCAGATTCGTGGAAGACGATGTCACATCCACACACACCTCTGTCTTTAAGCACATTGCACAGCATTCAGGTCTTTCTGCTGGGACTCAAAGATGGCCTCGCATCAGGCTCGTCAACCGGAACTTCCTTTCCTTCCTCCCTTTCTGAGATCAGAGAGGGGGCAGAGCCCCGGCCTGAACTCTGCCCAATGGCCTGGGAGTCTACCAGAGTCAACAGCCACAACCGAGCTCTACGTTTCAAGATTTCCACAGGCTGCACATGGGAGCCCCGGCGCCATTCGATCATACGCCGCAGCGACTGTAGCCTGGCTTGATGACAGCTGGGCTTCCTAGGATGTTCACAGAAGTCATGGTGAAAGGCAATGCGGTCATGTTGTCAGTGTTGACCCGACCAAAATGTAGCAGCCCCAGCTCAGCAGCAAGTACAGCGCGAATGGCCATGAAGGCAGCCCGTGAACTCTGAGTGAGGGGCCAGCGAGTCGTAAGACGCATAGCCGTCCCAGTTGAAGTCTGCATTCGCAGACGGCGGGTGGTCGGAGACCTAAATGACTGGAGAAACCACGCGCAAAGGCTGGGCATGAGAGGCCACAAACATTTCCAAAAGACTTAACGACTACGGCCCGAGCGCTTTAGCCGTCGCATGCTTTTTAAACCCTAAACCCGAAACCCTATCCTGGGGGGCGTCGGTTTTTTGAGTGTCCGGCTCGGAGCCCCTCGCCGGCGGCCTCGGGGGCGGAGCTGGCCTCGGTCGATCTTGAATCTTCCTCCCCAAGCTCCCGGGCTTTGGATCAGGGGGCTTAGCCTTTGGGGTCTCCTAATTTCTAGTAGGGATGTCTTGGGTTGATCCAAGCTTCTGGGCTTTCAAGGGGGCTTAGCCAAAAAAGGGTCTCCTAATTTCTAGACCATAGGGATGCCTCGGGTTGATTGGTGACTTCCCCTCATGGCGCCTCCTCCTCCATGGCACTTCGCGGGCCACGGCATCCGCTTTTCAAGGGCGACGTTCAGGCTTGGGACTGGCTTGGGGGTCGTGGGAGGTGTGGGGTTGACTGGAGTTGACCCGGGGCGTCTCAGGTTTTCCAGATGCCCCATATCAAACTGCATCCAGCTAGGCTCGGGTGTTGGAGGCAAGGGCCGTGAAAACACTTCGCACTGAGGTGGGCATTCTTGCGGCCTGACTTCTGCTTGCAGCTAGCGATGCTTGAGCGAGTGCTCTGCACTCACATGGCTGCGCAGGCCGAGAACTGCAAACACGCTCGCAAACACGGCATTGGTCTGCTGCAGCCCAGGACAGCCAGTTCCGCAAACGATTCTTGCCAACTGCTACAGAACGATACAAGAAAAAAGCGACACACTCTCTGCTGAGAAGAACCTGTCATGAAAGGTCACCGTTGCATGGATCTTTTTCCATGTTTGGAAAAGTCCCACCGATTCCCGCCGGCCTTTCAACAACTTGTGTGAGACTACTGATCTGCGGCTCCTGAAACGTTCTCAGACTTGTTGTCAAGCTCTCCAAGGGCTCTGGGCTTCTAAAGCACTTCAATACAGCCAAGGAAAAGGGTGGCGAGTCAGCGCCGCTTGTGTGACAGCGCCTGCAAAGGCAAGCATCGCCAAACCTCAACTTCACGAAGGGATGAAGGACAAGGTCTCGATGCAAAGACAATCTAATTCTTCCGAACGCCAACTGTATCCTGGTGATTCTTCTCTACTTGGGCTGCATGTCACCTGAGCCTAGCGGCGCCCGTTCTTGAG